CGTGATTGTACTACTGAGGAGGAGCAACCTATTTGGATTCTCACAGCTGCCATGAAGAATTCAGATCCACAAAACTGAGCTTGATGTGGAGGACTTCTCCATTTTTATTCATGTTTTAATAGTCCTCCAAAACAACCAGAATTTTCAAAATTTAAAACATCTACAGCTGCTCAGCTTTATGATCAGGCTTCTGGTAATTTCAGGTCTGAATCTCCACTAGCGAAGTTTATTGGTGGGATCCATCAGGACCTTAAAGTGCGTATTGACAAGTCAGGGCTCACAGAACAGAAGGCATGACAGCATTTAGGCCAGTACAAGGCAAATATTTTAAAAATCCTAGCATAGAATTTAGCTGGCTGGTATCCCAATAGAGGCTCCAATTTTTCCAACCCCCTGCATAGCAAGGATATAATTCTGGTGCAAGAAACATAGACAGCTGATGATCTGCTTTTAATGGGTACCACTCATATAAAATGGAAACAACTCCAGGCAGTGGGCCAGGGCAGCTGAAAGGAGGTTAGGGCATCCTCATCTCTACCTCTTTGAGAGTAGCATCTACACCCATCCCTCCATTAAAACAAATGGCTATGGCCCTACTTCTCTGTCTGGGTACCGACTCATTGTTAATTAACAATGTTTACCTTCCACCACAAAGAAAAGCTGAAATCAATGTAGTATGGATGGAGCTAGAACAGTATGTCGGCAACCTTCTTTTGGAATACCAAATGCTATGGTGCTACTGGGGATAACTTTAATGCTAGGCTGGGCCCTGATGATTATACACTTTATACTAAATTTCACCAGTACCCACCAACTCAGGACTTCAACTCAGCTTGCACCCTGTTTCTCCATCTCTCCAAAGATAAAATATCAAATTATGCTAGATTCTGCCTCGCAAAAATGGTGAATAGGCTTAATCTCCTTATACTAAATAAGTACATATTATGATACACACACACACACAAATACATATACATACATACATTTATATTACTTATTCATATTCATTATAGTTATATCTATTAATTTATAGATCTTTTTACAAAGAGATGGCATAGGACAAGGAATAATGCAGAAGCATGCCTCTTCCTGAATGCAATAAATTGTTAGGACTTTGAGGTCAGAGAAAAATATCATGGATTAATTTCTTTATTTTTCCTTAAAAAAGTAACTCTTGAGCCAGTCAAATAAATAGTACTCCTACTCTGTGCCACTTCATACATCTATGGACTTCAGACATCTATAGATGAGAACCATGAAACTGTGAGAAAAGCATATGTGTTTCATGGTATTTCCACCACTTCCAAAACACTGTGATTGAAATAACATGTAATAGTCTGAAGACAAGGATCACTTTGACTTGAGGGCAGAGTTGTCACTACTGAATACAATGGTATCCCATGCCATTTCCCAGGAAAGTGCTTTATAAGAACTACCAAAAGATGTTCTTTATAAATCCTGGGGGGGACAGAACGCAGAGTTCCTACATACTGGAGGTAGAACTTTGTATAAGATTTTGATCCAACAAATTAGATCACTCATTCATTCATTCATTCATTCATTCATCAATCACATTTGTATAGCCACCCATCTCATGTAGTGACTCTGGGCGGCATACATAATAAAAACAGTCCACATACATAAAAAACTATTAAAATGCAACCACATTAAATTAAAAAGATAAAAAACGAAGTGGCAAAAAAGCAGACAAGAGATTGCATTCCAATTAACTATCATAACCATCTAGCAGGCTCTACTCTATCATTGGATCCCCAGGCCAGTTGACAAAACCATGTTTTAAGGGTCTTCCAGAAGGCCAAAAGGGTTGGGGCCAGCCTCACTTCAAGGGGAATGGCATTCCACAGGGCAAGGGCCATTAATCCCACCTTAAGTTACAATTACCCTGAACTGTATAAATCTGTTCCAAGTTTACCTTTTGTGGCAAGCTGGAGCACAGCTCTAACAAACACACACAACAGAGATCTTGTGCTAAGTATTCTGCTGTACAATTAATATTTTCCATATCATTTTATCAGCACATTTTAAAGAAGTGCATTTCAACAAGAGTCTGAGCCTTTCCATTCTTAATATAATTAATGTGGCTTTAACCAGATATATGTTCTCGTACTATATTTTCATACATCTTAGGATAATTATGCAGTTTTATCTTCTAATATTATCACAACAAATAGAGCTTAGCTAAAAACCTATGTTGTATATCAGCTTACATGGTAGGGCTGTATAGCAGTTCAGTTTCAAAAGGCAGCATGTGATTTGGAGTGCATGTGGGTTTGCACACAGTACCTTCGACCAAAATGTGTCTTTTTCCAGAATTGTGTGACAGTAGATGTGTGAGCCCAAGAAAAGACACAGCTGCTTTAAGAGGCTATCAACAGATGCTATGTGCGTACCTCTACATGCTCTAAATCCAATTTTGCCTTTCAAATCAGAATCTCTGTACAACCTTGTGATGTATTATACAATTACTTACAGCTTTCTTCTGAATGAAAAGCTGAGCATCCTTAAGATGGTTAGCAATGTTCTCACAAAGTCTCTTGCGCTCTTCCTCATTCAATACTTTGACAAAGAAGTCCCGTACCTTTCAATAAATAGTGAAAGCAACCATTACAGATATACCTTCTGCCACCTGTTAGAAGTCTTCTACCATTCCAATTTCATTAATAACATCAACCTCAGCTATTAAATACATGGGAATAAACTGTTGGCTAGTTAGACCTATCCTGGAGTTATCTCTACTGTTTAGAATGTGAAAGGTTCTGTCTTTCTGGGGGGATTGTTCCCCATCCCCCCAAAAGCTATAAATAATGCACCTACAAGCGACTGCCTCTTTAGCAAAAGCAGCTCTAGGATCTAGATCTAGCATCTGCATCAAGCAAGTTAACCTCCTCCATCCCCCAATATTGTCCAATTTGCCTTCAAGGTATTATTATTTTTTGTGGGGGAGGGGAGATTTTTGGAGGATCTAGAGCATAGAGGATTGGCACCTTATAGTTATTTTGGCCGAAACAAGAAAGTAGTTTATTGGACCTGGCTGAAAGAGACTGGATAATCTCACTTTTATACATGGATCCATTTGTAGAGAAAATCGAATAGCAAAAGGTGGGAGCAAACAGGAAGCCAAAGCTTAATTACTGCAGGATAGAATTTTATAAAGCAAGTACTCTCAACTAGTTTTAAAGTAGGTGCTTGGAAGATGTATAAAGGGAATGTTGATGATAAATTTACCTTGTTTTAA